GGGGGTGTTACCGCACTGGAGCAACCTATCACTGGTTTACCGAGGACGTCAACAGGAGCTTCCTTCTCCATAATGACTTTGCGCACCTCGGAAAATCACTACCCGCCTGATGCTGTCGCACTTACAAATGATACACACATGCACGTGTTGTTGTTGTCGTCACTCCTGTCTCCTATTTTGAGACATATCGCACATCTACGCGCCCTAAAACATGACCCAGCTGCACGTTTCAAACTCAACATGGAAGTGGGAGGCTACGTAGCACGAAAAAATGTGCTTGCTGGTAGTGTTTGTGCTGGTGCGGATTAGTACCGAGCCACCTTTTTCCTCAGCTCCCCCTCCCCGCCTCTCCTCTCTCTCGCTCTCTCTCTCTTCTATCTGTCCTCTGCCAGTCCTTCTGCTGGTGTCAGCAACATTGAAATAAGAAATATCACCGTGCGGGGAGAACAGAGGGGAGGGAAACACACTCGGCAACAAGGGATAAAATTAGCGCAAAGCGGATGCACAAAATTCTTAACCTGCTGCGCTTTGAGCCCGCTGATGATGACAGGCCTGCACGCATTAATACGGACTGCCATGACAAGCAGTAATAAGGCTACGTAGGCTACTTACCCCGAGAGCGCGTCCCAGAGCCAACTGCGTTTAGGCAGGAGGTTAAGGTGTTGCTGTCCTGCTCTCCCCTTTCGCACCAGCGGCGATCCACGGCTTTTTGGTGCATTAGATGTTGCTTTGATTACATAACTAAGGCCAGCGGAGGTTAAAACACCCCCTAAAACCGAGTTTCAGTCCCATCAGAGCGCAGAGCCTACTGTGCAACAACATTGGCGCGGGTGTTTTCATAATCATACAGTCGACGGATCTCCGTCGGCGCGTCTCCGCAGCTAGGTGGCGGACTGGTTACGCTGGATCTTATTTTTTTTTTATTTTTTTGCCTACTTCTCTCTCTACCCCCTCTCTCTCTTTCTCGCTCTCTCTCTCTCTCGGGGGGAGGGGGGGGGAGTTACACCGCTCCCGCCAGTTATAATGGCTCAGATTGTGCTCTCGTATGCGCACAGCCTGCTAACGTGTCGTGGCGACGGGCTGAAGGCTGCAGCTGTGTGTGTGTGTGTGTGTGTGTGTGTGTGTGTGTGTGTGTGTGCTCGGGGTACAGGGCTGGCAGCGCAGAGGGGTTGTTGGATGTGCGGGAATGCAACTGCGTGGCCATTTTCATGTGGCCAGAGGAGGAGATAAAACGGTGGATACAGCACAGGATCTCATTGCGGTTCATAACAGGCGATCGGGGAGGGCTATTTAGGCGCTTAATAAAATGGCGACGACTTGGCGAAAGTAGGCTGCTGGTAGGATTTAGGGGAGCAGCCGAAAAGTTGCGTCGCGTCATGCAATACAAGATTCGGCTTTACGCGAGTGGGAGAGGCACGCGGGGATGGTAAAAGTTGATACGTGAGAGCTGTTTACCGCGCGTTTGGTAACATTTCCCCCAAATAATAAAAAGCACACAATTTGAACATGAAACATTTGCAGAAGTGTGTTAATATGAGAACACAGTCATAATTAGTAGTGCTAAAAACAACAGTCACAGATATATAATTACAGTATAGTAATGATTTATTTGGCAGTAGAAGCGGTATATTCTCCAAAGAGTTTAGTCCACTGTTAGGTGCTGATACACATATAAGATTTGGGGAGCCCCCGTGCCTCCTATTCGCTACACACTGTTTACACCGTGACCTCTAAATAACCATTAAACACACTGCAGACTGCACCTGACCGCGCATATGATCCTGAATTTGTTAGTAGCACTAAAAGTCCTGAAAACACGCACCATGTAAGGAATATGTGACAAAAAGCAGATAGATGTTTGCCCCCGTAAGTTTTAAGTCAATTCCATAAGTCCAATTAACAAGCACGCAATTTTTTACAAACCAAAAAGTCCTTCAGGCTCTCTGGGCCTCCTGGGAAAAAGTTGTTGTCTAACCCTTGTGACACAACCGAGTTTTGCTTGTTGTTTGCTTTGTTTTTTTGTGCTTTGTTTTTTTGTTTTTTTAAATTCTCTGTCAAACATTATTTCGAATAAAAAGGGTCCAGTTATTCGACTGATACTGAAGCCAGGATCTCTGTATGTCAGTCAGTTTCATCCAACGCAACCTTATTTTAAATGTGAACGAGAGCGCTCGTCTATTTTAGGATCAGTGTACTCGTGATAACGTGAACAACTGGGAAAATAAAGTCGAACTAAAGTCGATCCAGTGATTAAAGTTTAACAGTTGAAATGCTCATTAAACACCTGCATTGGTGCGAATGACAAGAAAAAAACGAGAGCAAAAGAAAATCAATGCGGAACTGAATTTATGCTCAAAAAGTCGCATAAAAACTTTGATCACATTGAGATAGACAAATATCAGAGTCCTAGAGATGCTTAGAGACACAAACATCCATGTCTATAAGATGCCTATAGCATGTATGCATAATGAGAGCGTAAGCTTTCAAGATTATTCACAACGAGCACTAAAGATAAGAGAGATATGCTTTGCACACTTAATTTAATCAGCAATAAGGTTTTGTTGCTGTCGTTGCGATAAAAAAGTGAATACTTGATCCGTTTCAAACACCTGCATAAGTTCTAAATGTTCAGAACCTTTCATTGTCAAACTCATTATAAATTAGGTGATAATGCAGGGCATTCTTAGTTAATTACTAAAGAAATGAGCATTGGCGTACAGAAAATTTGGTATTTTATGGGAGCAATTTTCCTGTGATTGTGGGTAGATGTTATGTTTGAAAAGATGATTATTCATTTGCCACGCGAATCTGCACACAGTAGACCATAGAGCAAAAGAAATCAGCATACTAATTGCAATTCCAATTAATAAAACTAAGAAAATAATTTTTTTATGTTATACAAACAGACACAAAATACAAGGGCAAATTATTGAAACTGTGTCCAAGGGAGGACTGTGATACTCTGACCTAAAGGATAAAACATACAGAAGAAATAAAGTCAGAGATAAAAATATATTGAAGAGTGAAGACAGAGTGTTGAGAAGATGGAAGAAGTACTTTGAGAAGCTTGTGAATAACGGAAATGAGAGAGAGAGGAGGACAGATGGAGGAAAGTTAGTGGATCAGGAATTTCAGAAGATTCGATTTCAGAAGAGCTGCTATAAAGAGGATGAAGAGTAGAAAGGTGGTTGGTCCAGATGACAAGCCTGTAAAAGTATGGGATGTCTAGGAAAGACGAGAGTGGACTTTTCTTTTTTACCAGATTCTTTAACACAATCTTGGAGAGTGAGAGGATGACTGAGAAACAGAGAAGTGCATTGGTACTGATTTTCAAGAACAAAGGTGAAGTGCAGAACTGTAGTAACCACAGAGGGTTAAAGCTGATGAAATGCACCATAAAGTTATGGGAAAGAGTTGCTGAAGCTAGGTTAAGAGGAGAGGTGGGGACATGATGTTTGCTTTGAGGGTGTTGATGAAGAAGTATAGAGAAGGTCAGAAGGAGTTTTACTGTATCTTTGTAGATCTAGAGAAAGCATACGATAGGTTGTCAAGAGAGGAGAAGGAGGCATATCCTCACGCAGGACAAGCACGAGGACAGCAAGACAATGATGAGGTGTGGAGTAGGTGACAAGTGTGCTCTGGAGAAAAGAGGAATGAAAGCCAGTAGAAACAAGACAAAATAGATGTGTGTGGATGAGAGGGCAATAGAAGGAAAGATGATGCTGCAAGGAGCAGGGGTAGTCAAGGTGGTGACTTGGTGAATTGAAATACATGGGATCGATGATTCAAAGCCACAGACAGTGCACAAGAGAGGTGAAGAATAGCATGCAGAGAGGATGGAGTGAGGGGAGATGAGTTTCTGGGGTGATTTGTGACAGAAGGACAGCAGCAAGAGTGAAAGGGAAGGTTTAGAAGATAGTAATGAGACTGATGGCAAAGCAAACATAAAGACAAACTAAAACATACAAAATCTCATTTACTTAGTGCAATATATATTCCTATGCAATACACATTTCAATGTGGAGTAAATATCTAAATAACTGTGCAATATTTTTCTCATACTACACTGGAATTTGGGAACTACCGTCTCATAGCTGAAACTAATTTACATGTTACTTCTTTTCTATATCTTTTTTTAAACAAACACAACAACAACAAACAAAAAACCTTAGTGTGCACTGTTTTATACACCATAAAGAGATATATATTTATAGAGTATTTATTTGACTTTGACTCTAATCTCTAAGAGTTACCTAGACCTTAGTGTATGTCTCCAAATTGCAAATACACATTTTTATCTTTATCTCTTATGATGTCTGGTAGCAGTGACAAAAAGACAGCTGGAGGTGGGAGAGTTGCAGATGCTCAGATTTTCACTGAAGAATGAAAAAGATCAGAAATGAGTATATAAACAGGAAAGCTCAGGTTGAGCAGGTGGAGACAAAGTTAGAGAGACAAGGCTGAGATGGTTCGAACATGTGCAGAGGAGGGATATACTGGACAAAGGATGCAGAGTATGGAGCTGCCAGGCAGGAGGAAAAGAGGAAGACCTCAAGATTGGTGGATGTAGTGAAGGTGTACACGCAGAGGGTTGATGTGACAGAGGAGGATGCTAAGGATAGGTTGAGATGGAGACAGATGATCTGCAGAGGTGATCCCTAAAGAAGAACACGAAGTATATTGCATGAGCAAAGACATTTAGCTGATTAATTTCTCATCATGAATATTCATCACGAGCCTTGTAACTTTTTTTTGTTTAATCTCCAGGCAACTAATCTGATGGTTAACTGAGATTACTGTACTGTTGCTGTTAATCTTACCTAAATCCGGAGAACAGGGATATATCTAATGCTTTAAAGATCACTGTCTTTACCCTTTATAATCTATTAAACAGTCATAATAACTGTACCGTAATTATCAGAGGCCAAACGCCAAAGTCTGATAAACTCCATTTTCCTCATTTGTTGTCGCCTCGCCTCGTGCGGTCTGATTGGCTAAACCACCGCGTCACGTCACTTCCTTTGTGTGCAGCATGATGGCGGTGTCCATGACAGGTCTGGCACATTGACATCGGCTCGGTTTGTGCAGTATTTACTCTCCGTGACCGGAGTCTGGAGAGCCTTTTCAGCAGATGACGTTTGTCGAAATCTTCCTCACTGAACATTTAATGAAGTGAGTCGCAGGTGAGCAGCTTTCAGCGTCCGCGCGGCTCTGGGTTCGTTCCCGTTACTTATTACATACGTGTCTGCAGGACGACACAGCTAGCTGTTAGCTAACTGTTTATGCAAGGTTACAGGACACTGGTGTGTGTTTATATATCCTGGCGTTTTGAATTGTTTCTCTCTGTCCACCCTGTTTCAGGTCATGGCTCTTCACAGATTGTCCTCAAGGCTACGGCCAACGGTGAGGATAGGCTTTAGAAGCTGCTTCTTCGTAACCTGGACAGTACTTAAATATTTCACTTTATTGTCAAAACTGTCAGGTCAAAAATGTTTTTACTAACAGCTGTTGTGGCAAAATGTTGCAGGTAGCCCACGTAAGGTCCCTTCACAGCGGTGGACGCAGGCAGCAGCAGGAGGCTGTGGCTGTAGACTCGGAACCGGAACCTTTCTCAGTCTTCAGGACACCGGAGAGCGACCCGGTAAGCAAGACATGAGGCAAAGCTGGATTCATACTCGTGTTGTTGGGATAAGTGTTGAATCATTAGTCTATTAAACATGTACCTGCCCAACATTAACTTAACAAAGAAAAGCAAAACAGATGAACAAACCACCACTGCCGTTCAACACACTGAAGGGAAAATTATTTAAACACAAATCTTTATTTTTAAATTTTTTTAAGACTAAAAATCAGCTATAGCAAACAAAAGGTCCAAACTTACCAAAATGAAAAAACAAACAAAAAGAAAACTCATTATCTTCTATTTCAGGTCAAAAGCCACATGTTAGACTTTACATTTATTAGTGTTTTTTCCTTTTTTTTTTACTATAAGTTGTTATTTTTCTGAATAGAGGAAATTGTGTTTGAAGCTGAATTTCTTTTACGTTCAGGTTATGTTGCATAAATGTGTTGCCTTGAAAAGCGACGCACTCACAGAATTTGGTGTCTGTTCAAAAGATTTGTCAGTGAGCATTGTCAGTCTTCATTTTACGGTGTTTCATTCTTTCTTCTGCTGTCCTGAAGATTTTTGTTTGTGCTGCATGAACTGCATGAGAACTCGTTCGTGACCATTACAGCCAGATTGAGATTTATACGGTGAAAATGGTTACAGGATGGTGGATAAAATGTTGTTATATAGAGGACGAGTATATATTTCTGTTTAGGGCACTCTGAGGGGTGCTGAGCAACTGACAAAGATCCAATTTAAAAACATTTTGTTGCAGCTTTTATAGAAATGCGACTGCATTGCTTATTCTTAAATCAGATATTTGGAATTTGTTGTCCCTTTAATTGAAATGACTGAAAAAAGCTTATGATTTTGACCTGCGTTTCCTTCCAGGCATGTCATTCAGAGACGCACATCGGACAGTACTACACTCTGCCCTCTGCACATATCCGCACGCTGTTCCCTTCAGGCCTCCCTTGGCGCTATCAGCAACAGGTAAGTTCATCCTTGGATGTGAGATCTGCATAGAAAAGTTACAAATGTGACCTTGTTTGTAGATTACAGTGTAGTTTTTCTTAAATGTTTTAAGCAGCACTGATAAATTCTTCTCCATGGTTTTAGGTGAAGACATTTAACGAAGCTTGCATCATGGTGAGGCAGCCAAGCCTTGAGGTCATCTCTTACCTGAAAAAAACAGACTACAGCAAACCTGCTCTGCGATATTTATTTTGTATCCTTCAGAAACACACCTGCGCTGCCGCTTACAGAAAAGTGAACGCACTCTAGCTCTTGATCCTGATTAAAGCAGTCGTTGTCCTTATCAAGGTGTTCAGATGGGCAGAAGGGTACTGGGAAGACGATTTCTCTCTGTCACGCTGTCCACTTCTGCTACACACAGGGATGGCTGGTGCTTCATATTCCTGATGGTGAGACAGACACACCGGCTAAATGTCTGATTAGTAAACAGTAAGAAAGTGTTTGGGATGCGCTGATTCAATGGCCTGTTATGTGGCTCGTTGACTGGCATCAACCTGTCAGCAAATAAAATGACCTTTAGTGATGTTTTTCTGTTGTATGCGATCAACTTTCAACCACCCTGCTTGCAAATCCAATGATAAATGTATTAGTCGTTCAGAAAGAGTGTGGTGTCGGTTTAAAGGTCTTTAAACCTATTTATTTATTTTTAATGATGAATATATTATTTCACAATCGCTGCATCTCCTTCGTGAGAAGTTAACGATCAGTATCTTCTTTGCTCGCGCAGCTCATCAATGGGTGAAGAACTGTAAGGAGCTGCTGCCTTCATCCTATAACGCGTCTCGCTTTGATCAGCCATTACAAGCCACGGCATGGTTACGCAACTTCAGGCTCACCAACGAACGCTTCCTTTCAAAGGTAACAATATGGACACAGTAATACGCAGTATTTAGAGTACTTTGAGTATTCAAAGTGAGATAAAGGCTTATCAACAAGCTGGACAAGTACTGGCTTTGATGTAGTTTAGGACTAACTTAAGTTATTAAATGACACCATTTAAATCTACCCGTCTTTACCCTGGAAAATGGTATGTTTGACATGGAGACACAGGTTCCTGTAGCATGTAAATTTCAGCGATGGTCTTCATCCAAACTTGTGTAACATTTTAAAGAAAAAATGTTCCACCCATAGCACACCTGGTTGAGCAGACGACCCGTGTGCCATAAACTGTGATCATTATTGATCCAGTAGTTTGGATCCCAGTCCACCTCATTCACTTCCAGCCACTCGCCCTCTTTCTGTCCCTACTTTAATGGCTAATCTATACTGTCCTTTCTACTAAATGCACCCCCCTAGAAAAAAAAATGTCTATAAATAGTAAATATATGTACCCATATGTAACCACCAAACTTGAAAATTACTATAACTGGCTTAAATTTTCCCTCGTTAGATTCCGTCTTCAAGTCTTCTCCTTATGCACGTCCAGACCACTTCCATTTTTACGATGTTCTGTTCTGACTACTTGTACTTATGAATCTGTGATTTCACCATGGCAGGAAGTTTCTGTCTACACTAACACAATCTTGGCTCCTCACCTACCCTACACACCAGATCTGTTCTCCTCTGACTTTCACTTCTTTCTCAAAATAAAACCCTAAGGTTGCCATTTGAACACACTGGAGGAGATTCAGTATATATTGCAGGTGCACATATGCAAGTGGGCATAAAAGTAGTTCAAGGTAGCAAATCTAAAACTATGAGAAACATTGAAAGGGTTGGGTAAAAGTCTGGTGAGGAATTCAAATAGAAAAATGATGAGAGTTTAATGTTTCTGTTTCTTTGCCAGATAAAGACAAAGCATCGCTACATGTGGACAAAGAGAGAGTTCACCGAGGAGGGAAGTCTGCTAGGAGAGCTGGTGGATCAGGTGAGTCCTCCCTCTGTACAAATAAGTGGGAGTTCTGTTGTTTAGAGGATTTGTGTTTACCCTCCAAAACATTTTCATCATCCTGTTACTGATTCTTTTGTCCTGCCTGACTGATTCCCAACACACAGGTCATTAAAGTTTCATCTTTCACCTTGCCTGTGCTTGCTGGAGATCAATAGCGAATGAACTGAGCACTGATGGATCAGAACAATACTTTTGCACCATGCATGCTGACAAATGCTGCAGGAATTTATATGCAGCTTGTCAATTTCCCACTTGTATCAGTTGTCTTATTATTCCCATTTCTTTAAAAGATGGTGCTGCTATATATATATAATATATAATAGTATATATATATATATATGATATATATTATATATATAATATTAATATATATATATATATATATATATATATAGTATATATATATATATATATATATTATATATATTATTATATATATATTATTATATATATAATATATATGTCATATATATGGATAAAGCTTATATTAAGCAATTATCCTACAACAGCGAGTAGACAGACGGGTATCCAGGTTTTTTTTACTTTCTTCTTTTGGCTTCTGTATCAAACAGCTGGATGTTTACAGGCTTCCCCGTCCCACCCACACGCTACAATAACTCAGATTTTCTTCTGCTGCAGAGTTACTGTTATTTATATTCTTGATTTTGCTTCCATAACAAATGGCATTGCATCGCTCTAGGGTATATCTCGTGTGAAGAGCAGCAGTGATGTTGTGGGGGCGGTGATGAAGGAGCTGAGGCTGCAAAGCGGGCAACCGGGTTCAGACTTCCACTTGGCCGTGGCAGTGGATGGTGTCAATGGCCTGTGGGGAAGATCCACCATCAAGAAGGAGGATAAGAGTGCTGTGAGAAGACACATATAGAGTCCTGTTATTCCTCAAAGATGTTTTCAGGCTTCTTCTACGTTTGCCACAGATGGAAAATCTCATGCGTCTCACTTTCTCACTGTTATCAGGTCGATCCAGAGGCGCTCACTTTGATTTATAACCTGAGGAAGCTCATGAGGAACGACTGGGTGAGAAGAGCACAAGGTGTTTACGAGAATATTATGTTGAAGAGATTTTCCATTAACACTCTCTCTCTCTCGTTTTAGACTGGAGGCGCCATTATCGCCACTCTGTCCCAGACGGGATCGCTCTACACCCCCAAATCTGCCTACTTGCCTCAAGAGCTGCTCGGAGAGGTTAGAGGTCATTTGATTGTGCTTTATTATCTGTAGCACTCGCCCTCAAGCAGTGACGGCAGATTAGTCTTTGCTTGTCATTTTCAGTTTCGGCTATTAGTCAGGAAATTGCAGACTGAGCAACATTTTGTTGTCTGTGAGCAAGAAATCATGCTGCATAACCAGCAATATTGTCAGAAAACAGATTTCTTGTGACATTTGTCAACAAAGGATGAATCTTATTCTTTGTTTAGTGCATACACGCCCTCTTTCTTTAGTAAGCTGGCTCTTCTATGCAGCAGCATGAATGTGAATGCTTCTGTTACTGTTCCCATTCTGCTCGCTGGGTTCAGTTTTGCAGTTATACAGCGCGACTGTGTCAATGCAGTCCGTTCTGTTCATCACAGCCATATTTGTCTGATGTATGCGTGTCACAAGATTCATTTGCAGATGGACCGATAAATCCATCTCTGTCGCCCACCTCTTATTCTGGACAACAATTAAACAATAAAACTCAAAGCAGGCTCGTAAAACATTCTGATCCCCCTCCCCCATTAAAAAGTGTTGGTGATGTAAGTTCACACTGTGTGGGCTTGACCTGAAATTTTTCTTTTCTTTTAAATGCATTAATTCATATTTAGAAATGTGCATTATTGATTTTTTTCCCCTTCAGTGCATCTATCTTATGTAAAGACTGATATTTGTTAGAGCCTGCAGTGCATGTTTTGCATTTTTATGATGATTCATATGTTCTCTATTTTTCTATTGTAAGTTATTGTCAGTATGTAAGTGATCATCAGCTGTATTGAAAGGCTTTAAACATGGCTGAAAGTGAGATTTGATGTTTTGTGTTCTGTTTGTGTTTTCATCATCAGAGGGGGTTTGACAGCATGGATCCATTCATTCCAGTTTCTGTGCCCAACTACAGCGAGAAGGAGTTTGAGAGCTGTTACCTCTACTATATGGACCGCCACTGGCTGCAGCACCCACAGAGTGAGCGATGATGGTGATGGTGACACTAATAACACGTAATTTAGGCTGTGTTTCTAATATTTTAATTTTTTTCCTCTAATCAGGTCGAACTGAGGAAGGGAAAAAAGAACTCGTCTTCTTGAGCAACAAGAATCCATCAATGTTGGACAGAATTTGTGGCTTCTTATGAGGATGCAAACAGATTAAAATCAGTATCAGTCTACTAGAAATACAAAAACATACATGTGTCCATGTCTGTAATATGTATACTGTTGTAAACTATGATGCATGCGTGCTACTTTGATAATAAAATGTTAAAATAAAGAAAATTGTGCTTTTGGTTTTGTCAGCACTTTGATCTTATGTGGTCCGAAATCCTCAATTTCTGTCAGTGTAAATAGTTTAACTACACATTTAATCAATGAGATATCTTAATATAGGATACTGTAATGTGTATAATTACAGAAATCTAAGTTTAATTACTTTGGTATATTGTGAGTGGCCATGGGGAAGGTATTTATTGTTAGGAAAAGCTTTAAAATTGGATGCAGTTAAAAGTCCAGTCTTTCTCAGGGTGATTCTGGCCCCCAGGACTTTTGTTTCACACCCCGGAGTTTGGGTTTCAGGTACAGTCAGAAACACACTTTTCAAAAACCAGGACCAAAGTCCAGGTGGATCTGCTATACCGAGCAGGATTACTGGAGTCACACAGGCATAGGAAAGGGTTGCTGATCACCATATGCTGGGAAAAAGTGTGTATTCCCCAATACCAGCCAGCTAGCAAATAGAAAATTATAATTTCAGTCATTAAGTGTCTACACCTATATATCTCTGGGATTTACTTAATGAGGTAAATTCTACAAGAGAATATAGCAGCCTCTCTGAACATTTGATAAATGGCAGTCATCAGGACTTTATGACTAGTTGATAAATAATTCACTGGGGTTGAATTTTACAAATTTTAATTAATAATTTTAAAAACTGTAACCAAACATCACTGGCTTACTTTTATGGTCCAAAGTTGTTTGTTGATTTATTATGATCTACTACGAATGTTGGTGAATAAAAGCAAGCTGGTTCAAAATGCAGTAGCCTACTAGTAAATTTACTACTAGTCTAGTTTCATACATTCACCAGCTGGGAGACCACGTGTCCCATTTCCTGTTGGCCTGCACTGCATTTTTATCCCTCGTGCCCTTGTCCCACATATTACGACAATGTCCCACATTTTAATTGGCTCAGGTTTCCAAACGTGAAGTCATGTCTCACAACACACGTGTGACACAAAAAGAATCACGCAGACCTAGAGATGCATCCTCCCCGAAACCCAGATATGATAACCAAATGGAAAAGCCGCTGAAAAGCTAGCGTAACAGAAAAAGACATTACAATACAGACATGGAGGAAGAACTTGACATTTATGCGTAAAGCCTATTTGATCAGTGAAGAAATCGGAAAAAGTCGTTCAAATAAAATAGCTTTTATTCCTTACAAGATGTTAGTAACAGCAGTAATCTGTTGTTATTTATTTATTTATTTAAAATTGTTTTTTTCAAAGCTTTCAGGTTCATAATTTCTCAAATATAGCGCATTGAGGTAGCTTGCTGTGAATTGGGGCTATATAAATTAAAATCAGCTGAACTGAAAACCTTTCTGAGGTTATTAATATATTTACAAAATATTAAAAAATATTTATTTTTGTAATTTTCCGTATATTGTTCTATTGCCCAATCGTGCAGTTACGTAATTGGCTTAGTATTTTCTTCCTTTGCACTTCTTGCTCTCTATGTTGCAATAAAGTTGATCTAAAAAAAAGTGGGGAAAAAATGAAGGTATAGCACCACCTGGCTGCCGATGCGGAATATTGCATAGTTGTTCACGTGATCATATGTAACGTCACATGACTGGCTAATAGGGAGGAAGTGGAGAAAGTTGTTTGGGATGACATTTGATCAAATTGGAGAAACGTGAGGAGGACTGACCTTTCATGTAGGACATGAGGTAAACTGCAGGAGCGTCTAAGGTGAGCACATCTTCTTCTACGTTTACAAAGTGCGCCGTATGACAAGGAAATTAGTAAAAAGCACGCACCTCTGTCTGATACGTGTGTTTTTCTAAATAAAAACTCGCACTTCTATGTTTAAAACTACTCTGTTTGTAGATAAAATGGCCCTTTCATCTCTGTCATCTGTCCTGTGGGAGCTCCTTTTCGTGGCAGCACAAGTGATCCTCTCTGCAGGTAACCAGGAAAACACACAGTCACACACACACACACACACACACACACACACACACACACACACACACACACACACACAGCTTGTGTGTCTTTTATTACTGCAGAAGAATAATTGTTAACTAGATTTATTCTTCTCCCAGGTTACAATAAATGTGTTGCCAGAAACTTTGGCTATGACTCTGTGGTGTGTGAATGTAATTCGACATATTGTGACAGCATTGGATCTGTCAGTCTACCTCCACTGGGCCAGTTCTCGTCCTACCTGAGCAACATTGCGGGCAGCAGACTGGAGGCCAGTCAGGGTGAAGTTCGGGCTAACAGCACTGGAGAAAGTGGGTAGAGGAGTGGCATTTTAAGATACCATCAGTGATGCTGGAGCAGGTGCAGAGCATTTCTGTCTGCTTTTGTGTTTTCTTTCAGGGCTCAGGTTGACTATCGTTCCCTATCAGAAGTACCAGAAGACCAGGGGATTTGGAGGGGCGATGACAGATGCAGCAGCCATCAATATACTCTCTCTTTCTGCTGGTGCACAGGAACAGTTGCTGAGGCAGTACTTCTCCAGTGAAGGTACACTGCCACTGTACCGGGGAGACATAGCCTTACAGCCTACAAAAGGGCGATACAAAGTCAGGCAGTAAAAGAATACTAATAGGTATAAGAAGGGTAACAGAAACGAGGAGATGTTAGACAGTTTGGGGTATTAAAAGGCACGTTTTTAACTTGCATCAGCAGCATGATGATCATCAAAACATGTCATAGCCCAGTATCAGCACCAGTTATAATTGACTGAGTGATTAAAAAATAAAATTATTCCCCAATGATATACACAGATGTAACAAATATATGCAGAATAACTAGAAAAGGGTTTTGTGTCTAATTGTGTCTCCTTTTTTATTTTCTCTATACATTTACTGTTACACTGTTACAATGGTAGTACGACATCAGTGAGACAGCATGTCCCCAGTGATCTGAAAGGTACTTAGCACAGCAAACCCACTCACCTGCTGTTTAGACCTGGTGTGTATGAAGGGCAGCCAATCAGAAGAAAGGGTCATTAAAGAATGGGGCAAGGGAGCTAAAAAAAAAAAAAGCTTGTTTCATAGTGGATGAAACTGCACCCAGGCCCAGTAAAATGCAAGTGTGGTGAACTGTAACGCAAAGCTGTTCTAGTAGAGTCAAAGTTTAAAGCTATAGAGCTGGAAATTAGTATTAGGGCCCTCTATAAAGTAGAGTCTCATCTAATTCAGTTACAGTTTGGTTAGAAATATAAAACCTGAGGACATGAAGAACAAAAAACGGTGCACATCCTGCCGAGCCCTGATCATTGACATCACTGGCCTGAGGCAAGTAATAGATGGTGCCATGATGACAGGATTATTGACACTTGTAGATGTCTTAGAGCAGCCAAAAAGGAAGAAAAAAAGCAGATCAAAACCAACAGTCATTCAACACAATTACCTTCATTCAGGAAGGAAAAAACGATTTTAACCAAAAATGGCCTTAGTTCAATTATTTTCCACTTCCCAGATGTCCTGCTTCCCTCCTAAGCTGAGGCCAGATGTGTTTATCTGGTTAACTGAAAGGAGGAAATCATTTTAGTGAAGCTGACTGCACTGTGGGAAAGCGGTCGACCAGTAAACACCAACAGCTGCCTGGCAAATGTACGGACAAAAAGGGTGGTACGTGGGTTTTTTGTTTTCTTTTCTTCTCCATTGGAAGTGGGCTGTCTGGGATTCCCCTCTCTGTGTGGAGGCTGCTCACTAGGACGAGAGTACAATGGCATAGGTCGGCAGAAAACGCTGAAAGAGCCTTCTCCTGGTGAGGAGGTTGAAAGACTGTGAAAGTTGAGCACACCTGCAGAGTTCTTTTCTTGCCCAAAAACTACAACTACAGCCATGACTCAGCTACTATGAAGGGCATCCTGCCAGAACAGCTTCCTTGGACGTTGTTATTGATGCCTCAGATTTCTGGAAATCTATTGCATGGCTTGTTCACCAGTCTTCTAAAACATATTCTCTAAAGAGTTTTTACACCGTGGAATAAAATGCTATAATTGTTGAGTAATAATACTGATTTATCCCCCAGCTTTGGTTGTGTTGATGTGTTTTGTGGCAGGTATCGGCTACAGTGTAGTGCGTGTCCCCATGGCCAGCTGTGACTTCTCCACACGTCTGTACACCTATGCTGACACACCTGGAGACTATGATCTGCACAATTTCACTCTGGCCCCAGAAGACATCAACATGAAGGTGTCTGTCTTTTGTCTCGCACGCTGACACGGCCGTTGTCGCCCATGTCTCATCTTACCTCCTTTGTGTTCCAGATCCCTCTCTTGCAGCGTGCGCAGGCCTTGTCTCCTCGTCCTCTGTCTCTGCTGGCCAGTGCCTGGAGTGCCCCCGCCTGGATGAAAACGAACGGTGCACTCACAGGAAAGGGCTCCCTGAAGGGCCAGCCAGGGGGCAAGGAGCATAAAACCTGGGCTCAGTACTATGTCAGGTGACTTCTGTGGCTTAAAATCAGATTGATATCAGATATTGGAGGAGCGTGATTCAAGAGAAATGTATTCTGATTGGTGTGTTAATCATTTCCTGTCAGGTTCCTGGAGGAATACGCTAAATATAACTTGACCTTCTGGGCACTGACGACAGGAAACGAGCCCTCTGCAGGAATGATGACAAACTACAGGTCTACTCAGATGCATTAAAAGTTTTTTTCATATAAAAAATGTTAAGCATTGAGCTGTGGATTCTAAATTTTGCAGCAGACTGACAAGTATATTTGTCTCACTGCAGTTTTCAAGCCCTGGGCTTCACTCCTGAGGAGCAGAGGGACTGGGTATCTCTGGACCTGGGCCCTGCCCTGCATGCTTCGTCATACCCACACACACACGTCCTCATACTGGATGACAGCCGCATTCTGCTGCCCCACTGGGCCAAAGTGGTGAGTCAGTAAACAGAAGGGTAGCAGGAAAGGTCATGGCAAACTTTATTTTACCTGAGGCAAATAAGAAATTAAAAATGAATCAGTTTTAGGAGAATAAATGAATCCAAAACATCTTAGCAAGATAACTTGAAAGCCTAATGTAGTGAAATACAAGAAGGGGAAGAGGGAATAAAGAACTTTTTTGACTTCAAGTCTCACAAACTTGGTGTCCAAACTGTTCAGCAAAGGAAAAAATGTCAATCTGATAAGCTGTTGATAGAAATCAACCCAAAGAACGACGCTTGTCTTGCTATTTCACGACAGTTAAGAATCAGATGAAACCAGGCTAAAAGCAGATTAATGCAAATGTTCTGCAGTGGTTCAACAAATAAAGTCAAAACCACTAACACTGTAAGGCATCTTTCACAATTATGTTGAGTGAAGTGCATTATTTTTCCTTTTCAAGGTCTTCTTAATCACTGTTTCAACCATAATTTCCATTAACATGACTTGTGGAGGGATATTAAAGTATATATGGATGAATTAGCCACTTACAAACTCCAAAGACTGATTTACACCAAAAAATAGGGAAGTTGTTGGATCTGCAAAAGAAAAATGCAAGCAACAGGCAAAACTGTGGCCCTGTAGGCTAATTTAACCAAATAACTTATTAAAATCAGTATTTACCCATTATGCTATAATTAGCTTCCAGTTAGCCTATTGAAGCTAGGGGAAGGACTTTAAGAAAAAAAACTTGGTGTCACTCGATGAAAGTCCAGAGGAGAGTTTATAGTGGTAAAATGAGTCGTGACTGGAATTGGAATCACATAAAAGGACATTTACTTTACTCAGTGTCTACAGCAGCTGTGAGGAAACATATATTTAAAGACTTTACTGAAACCTTTTGGGAGGAAATAAATCCAGTATTTTGTGTATACTTTTCTAGGACTGATCTGGAAAATTGTGGCGCTGTTACTTTAACCACATGGAAAGTTTTATTCCTTATCTCTGCCAAGGAGGTTTGCACGTGTGTGTCATCTTTCTATCTGTGAACACAGTAGCTTGAAAAGTTATGAGTGAATTCTGATAAAATTGAATGATTTATTGATAAAATCGACAAATGGTCTTAATGCTTAGAAACTATGATTCTTACAAGTATGGTGTATTGTCAACACACAGAAAATACCATATAAGGATTTAAAATGTCACGTCACGTTTGACCTCTGACCTGACAACATACGCTTATAGGGATATGTGGGGATTCTAAATATGTTTACAGTAAAAGCTTATAGCTTTTAAATAAATACCAATTTGAGTACATTTACAATGTTTTATGAATAAGAGTTTTTTTTTTTTTTTAAAAAACAAAGCAAAACTTTTTTCACTTGATATTTATTAGTGTACATTTAAACAAATGTAATAAACAATAAACAATCAAAATTATGTGAAGTATATTAAAATGAGCTATTGGTTTTAACTGCACTACAAAACTTCTTACATTTCAAAATAACAAAGAAAACAAAATGAATATGTAAAAATGCGAAAGGTTCCCCTTAATAGTAAATACTGTCCAGCGACTGAGCTGCCCTAGCAGAGGTTTGTGCTCTCTGAGTGCTTCTTGTTTTCGTTATTATTTTTTCCCTCTTGTCCCTCCAGGTCTTAAGTGATATTCATGCAGGAAGGTACATCCATGGTGTGGCAGTCCACTGGTACTTAGACAGCGTTGTGCCACCTGACATCAGCCTGGGAACCACCCACGACCTCTACCCGGAGTATTACCTGTTTGGCACAGAGGCCTGCGCTGGTTGGAACCCGCTAAACAAAGGAGTGATGCTGGGAAGCTGGGACAGAGCTGAACAGTATGCACATGACATTATAGAGGTAAGATCATATTATCTGATGCGTGGAGGTTTGTGCTTGTTCAGTCAGATCCACTGCAAAAAGAGAATTTGACAAGCTGTGAGCTGTTCCAGAAAGGTGAGTCACCTCCCTTCGTGCTGCAGTGCAGGTTGTGCACACACTCGAGAGACTGCAGGCCTGCAGGCCATCAAAGCAAGCTGGAACTGGTGTTTAGTTTCTTCTTTCTTCACTCTCTTTCAAGGGAAATTGGACTCCTTCCATTCTCTCTCTTTTGCATGGGTGAATTCAGGCTGCAGACGCTCTGAGAGTCCAGAGGAATTTGTTTATGTAGACGTGCAATCCCTGCGATAGTTCAGCAGGCTGACTAAATTACACATCTTACTACAAAACACAGAGGAGGTAGCAGATAGTAAACTGTGGGTGTTTTTCTCCACGGCAGGACTTGAATCATTATGTGGTCGGCTGGACTGATTGGAACCTGGCGCTGGACCCGAACGGTGGACCAAACTGGGTTAAAAACGTAGTGGACAGCCCTGTTATAGTGGATGCGACGCGTGATGTCTTCTACAAGCAGCCGTCTTTCTACAGCATGGCCCACTTCAGGTAGTCAGGATCTCTGCTCACACTGAATGCTACATTTCACCCGTTCCATTACTTCACCGAGATCTTCTTACATGATCTTTCTACACAGCAAGTTTCTGTGGGAGGGGTCTCAGAGAGTGGGGGTGTCTGCCAGTGGAGAGACACACCTGGAATTTTCTGCCTTCATCCGACCTGATGGCTCACTAGTGCTCATCATACTCAACAGGTAAGGCATATTTAATCTGTTGTAGGAAATGTGGCATAATGGGTAAACACTGAACTGTTTCTATGCTTTGTTTTTCTTTTTTAGATCATCATCAGACATCCTGTTTGAAGTCTGGGACCCTCCTGTGGGTTACATCCCCTCCACTGCTCCAGCTCATTCTCTGCTCACACTCGCTTGGAAAAGGCAGTGATCATTAAAGCAGTTTCTCAGACTGCATATTTGTTTCAGCTGAACCACATTAAAAGCATTTCTCTGCGAATTTGCACACAGGATGATCATAAAACCTCCTGATTTTAGGGCCTTAATTTTTGTTTAGCTCCTACCTCTGGACCAAGCAAGCAAGAGGAACCTCTGACATAAATGTAGGGCGATTGCATCACTTCAGCATTCCTTTTGGCAGTGTGAATACAAACAGGAAAAAAGCCCTTGTAAGCCCCTAGTTCTTGAGAAAGATTTCAGTGTGGCTTTGGGAGTCTCCACAACTGTTTGTTCCAAAAACCCCTAATACAAAAGCTGTTTTATGTTTTAAGTTTCATCACACAGACATATTATTTTGTTTTGCTGTGATTTTTTTTTTTTAAACATAACTTGAGTAATTCCTGTATTCATTTAAAATAACCACAGGAAACCAGACATTCAACACATTATTTCCCCTTTCAAATGTCTTGGGGGGGGGGAAATGATGCCTGAAAAGAATATACACATTAGCCTGTGCTACGTAATCACTGGTGCCTTGATTTCCTTTTAATAACATGCTTGACATGGCTCTGATCAAATCATGTAATGCACTGAATCTGTAAATAATTTAAGTTGTTGCTATTTAATCATATTTGCTAAATAAAACAATGTTTGAAATTTGGAGGAACAACTATTACATGGATTGTGAGCAATGAAAATGAAACAATGACTTTTTTTTCAGTTTATTAATACATCATAGACAGTTTATCATAGACATTTTTTTTCATATATATAATATACAGTTTCATTACCAAGTATTTCACATTTGGGCCTCCATTCTCATGTTTATTTCTTTGCAAATTTTAAGTTGTTGGACTAAAATTATTTACATCAAACAGTGATAAAATGTGAAACAAAAGACAGTCGTAAACAGGAATAAAATGACAGAGGGATGCCAGCTGTTTATACTATACACACCAGGAGGAGCATGTTGAAATATGAAGCATTGTATATGGGGCCAAGCTCTGAGGATTTATTTTTATTCCCTTGCTGGTACTATGGGTAATTGTTTTGTTTTCTTCTGATTTAGAAGAGTTCTGAAAGGTGTCTTGAATCCCTTACTTTCCTCTGTAGTTAGTCCGACCTGTTTGTGACCATTTTACAGCAGCAACTCCACATGATTCCTATACAAGACTGTCGTGCTCCTGAAACACTGCAGAGTGTGCACACAAAAACATAAACACCTTTACAGTCCAATCCAATTAAACACTAACATATCAACAGTCACTCGACATCTTCCTGACACAATCTCAACAAAGAACATTATACAGACCCTTCATAAACAGCATTTATTTCAGGGATAAAGGTGTTCATGCTGTTATGGGTTGCCTCTGTGCATGCGTAGAGTGAAAAAAAATCACCTACAGTCTTTTCATATGCTTACAGGGCTCAGTTGCAGGATTTAGGTAATCTTAAGATGAATAAAGAGGGAAAAGCATGAAGAAGTCTGGTATTTCTCCACCATAGTCTATTGCAGCAGTATATTTAAAGAAAAGATTTGAAAGCAGTTTCCTGGAGGGTTCAAAGTACAGAGGATATGGGCTTGATAAACAATCTAGGCTGGTTTGTTATTAGGCAATAAAAAAAAAAGATAAATCAGAACTTAACTGACTCTTAAGACGTCTGCATTGGTACACAGGTGAGGAGAAAGGCATAATAAAAAGTAAAAATACAAAAACTCAGACAGAGATGATTATGACTGCAACGGAGATGAACAGAGGGAAATGAGAAGGATTTTGTCTTCTCAGTGGGCTGCTTGATGTAGGCGAGGAGAACTAAAGGGATGCGACAGGTGGGTGTCTCAGAAGGACCATCTCTCCTGTGTGCGAGGGTCCGTGGAGAGCGAGGGGGACTCTGATGGGGGCTGGCTGCTGCTATCTTCTCCGTTCAAACTCTTCCTACACACTGGACATGTGTCATGCTGCACGGCCACAGAACAAAATGCAGAAAACAGTTGCTAAGCACAGTTTTCTCACAAGTGTCTGAGAAGACTTTTAATAAGTGGAACATTATTTCGGGCCTGTTTTAAATGACGTCAGTCTGCTCTTTGTCTTTGATTGTGACTCATTTTTAAAAATGTTTTAATCTGCTCAGCCAATTATGTGCTATCCACAGCTTCCCAACTGCTAATATCAAATAACTCGAAGATGAATGCAAACAAATTTTCAGATTTGTAATTTTTTTTTAACCTTTTGTCCCATGCAAATTCCAGGTAGATTTTCAAAATAACACATTCACAGAGGAGGATAACATACTAAAAGCACCATGCAATAATAAAAACACTGACTGTATCATTGCAATAAATAAACTATCGGGAAGCATTATTCAGCATACAGAAGTGGCATTAAAACAACACTTCATCAGTTCCACTCCATTATCATCAATTTAAGCTAAGTGTTACTCAGGTCCCACCTACATGGCATTTCCATCATGACTCAGATAATCAAATCACATATTTGAGGTTCCTGTAGATCTGAATGCTCTCAAATGCAAAGTGAATAAATAACACATAGAATCCTCAATGTCATGTATGGTCTCTGGTATGGTTATATTTAATAAAAATTCAACGTTTTTGATGTGACTCACCATTTCCAGCCACGGTACTATACAGTCTGAGTGAAAGAAGTGGTTACAGGGTAGCTGTCTGACGGGCTCTCCAACTCTAAAGTCCTCTTTGCATACAGGGCATTCCATACAGCAATCTATTGAAGAGGATATGTGTTTTTAAATCTTTTCCTGACATCAACACCCTTGTCATTTTTGATTGAGACAGCTTCACACATGCTTACAAAGTGGTACAGCTACGTTTCTTGAGGAGATATACATTACACTTCTCAGCAGAGAATAACACAAAGTCCTGAGAATGCACCCGGACATTCATCTATGCCTTAAAGTCAGCTATCAACAGTCCTGCAGCAACTGGACAGCATAACTAGTCACACAGTTACAGCTGAGTGGTAAAATAGGACAGCATACCAAGAAGAGGAAGTCAAGAAGAACAGAGCCAAAAGAGGAAAGAAAATTGGGGAGGTGAAAGACCAGGAAGCAAAAATATATATACTGTCAAGGCTACTGGGCATTTCGTCCCTAACAGGCACAGTTTCAGAAGCTCCTTCATTTAAGTGCTGTGAAGATTTTGAAACAACTATGTATCAACAAAATGGACACTTTGTCCTTAGCTATTTTTTTTCAAAGCTGAAAACAAGTAAAAATAAAACATTATATGGAAACATGTCAATGAGTGCACATATACAACTAAAGCAAAGTAATACTTGGTTTAACATTTTTCTGGAATGCATTACTGATTATTTTGTAAGCGGACAGCATACAACACACTGACTTCAAGAGGTATGAATAGTGCGACCACTATTTAAAACACAAACTTAGTTGTAGTAGTAATAAATAGGGGTTTGACCTGACAACTCGAGCAATGGCAAAACTGCAATTTGTATTTCAAGGACAGAATAAAGAAACATCAGGGGACAGTGAAGGAAAAAAAGATAATCAGAGGTGACTGACCGGCTTGTTCCTGAGAAATATTGACAGTTGGGAGTGAAGAGATCTTCTCCTTCTCTGCTGGCGGAGGTCCTGTGTTCTCCAGCTGACCTAGTAACTACACAGACACGGGCACATATGTAAATACATGAGAAGAACACAAATTTTGTAGACTATTTTATAGTTTGTTTACCTGTGTTATCACAGCATCTAATCCTCCCTGCCCCCATGCATAATCCCCAGGGTTAGAGTGCAGCATCCCTGTCCTGAACGAAACACAAATAGACCTTTTTAATAATAATAATGTTATTTTAAATTGTAGTAACACCTTGTTGCTCTATAATGTCATATTACCATGACAGGGGAGGGGAGCCAGGGATTCCAGAGTTGGCAAAAAGACCAGCAAGAAATTGTTGTACAATCCTGACAAACAGAAAATGTACAGCAGTTAATGTCATTACCAAAAATAAGATCGGTTCGGGGGAAAGCATAAATAGCACTGTCATTATAAGTGGGAGTATTCAAGGCAGAGAATAGAGCCAGGAAAAATGATGAACTAGTGTGTTACTCACCCTTCCACAGCAGGCGAGCGGTCTGGCCTACTGCTGCCTCTAGACCGGTATCTCCTCTGGCTGCTCAGACGAGGGGGGCGTCCTGGTCCCCAGTGTTCCCCAGCTCCTAGTAGGCCCCCCATAGATCCTCCTAGGCCTGCTGGGACAGATCCCCCAATTGGTCCCCCTCCTAACCCTCCTAGGTCACCGAAACTCCCCAGGCGCCCACCAGGGAGCCTAGGTTCTGAGTCTGGGCTGTCAATGTCTCTTGTAAATGGCCGCTCGACTAACAAGAGGTGCCATAGCTTGATGAAATAATAATAAAGAAAAGAACAGTAACAGAAGAAAAGGAAAAGATTAAGTAAAGTAAAACATACAATCATGTTAATTAAACCTCTTTATCCCATATTCCTTCCTCAACTCCCCAAACCTTTCAGATCATGTCATACCTCTGCAAACTGTGTGGCTGTGTCATCTAGCCCATTGGCGCCGACCTCTAGGAGACTGAGGGAAACAGCGCACAAGGGGACAAAAGACTCATTATTAGCAACATGCACTGTTCAGCTGTAGCGTAAGCCTGGAACAAAACTGCAGAGTGAGCCTACAAGTTACAACAGTGCAACATCAGCGTTCTTCAGTACATGTCCATGCTCTTGTTCCAGCTAAAGCCTGTGTGTGTGTAGACATCATATGCTGTCTAGAGAAGTGAAATGGATAGTGACGATAATACAAAAACCTCTTACCTGGAGTCTTCTGTTACTTCCTCAATGAAACCCGAGTCACATCTCGGACAGATGTACTCCTAGAAATAGATTGAGCCATGTAAGAGTCAAATAGAAGAGGAAAAATTCATTTTTAAATTTTTTTTTTTATTAATTTATTTTTATTTCCTAGACCCTACTATTCAAACTATTCATACTACATAAACTATCCAGTAATTTAAATATTCTATTCTCAATTATATCAATTCTCACAGAAAAAAAAATAAAATCAGGAATCAATAAATACCTGGAATTTTTTACATTAAAATTCAATTACACTATCAACTGAAAGTATTTGTTTGTGTTGGTTAACTATACACCACTTTGCATGTGTGAAAATGAGATGTGACAAAAGGTAATATTCTATCACTGTCAAATCAGCATCCATTCCACAAAATAATTACAGCACGTAAAGACGTTTTGCGGCCTAATATGGCACACAAAGAAGTACAGCCAGATAATATCAGTAAGAAGTGTGACGGCCTGTATTTTGTGAATGCAACCAAGTAGGTAGAGCTGGTCTGCCAACCACACCTAAAGAGAGGCGTGATAGAAAACCTGTGTAACAGAATGAGGAAAACACTGCTACCAGTTTATTTGTGCAGCTGGTGCAGTTGTACACTAAAAGCA